AGAGAGAGAGAGAGAGGGGGGAGGAGACAGAGATGAAGAGACAGAGGAGAGAGAAAGATGGAGAGAGAGAGGGGAGGGGGGATGTCTCTGTATTATAATATGTATTACTCGTACTCACTTAATAACTTATTAATAAGCCTGATCAACCTCTTTTTTACTCCACATCTCGCCACCCGATTATTCACGTTGTTGTCTATAATACATGTGTTTGACCCCCCCCCCCCCTCACCTCTACTGACAAAATAGTTGTAGGGGACGATAACAGGCGGTATGTATCATAAGAGAAAAGAAAAATTATTAATTGGGAGGGCATTGGACATAGATCTAGCAAGTTCTCAATTCAGCTTCCGCATCTAGCGGGTTTGAAGAGGGGTAGGTTTCTGAACCCGTATATTTAATCTCTCAATGTAAGTCTAACTTATTTCGTGTGCCTGCCCATGTATTTGTGCTACAGAAATTACTCATCTCAGCACAAGCAGAATAAGCCCCTTTTTTTAACGTTAGATAAATCAATTCCTTCTTAAATACACGTTTTACTATTGCGTGGTGTCGTGTACAATTCCGCAATCTGCGCGCACCCACAAGTAGAAGTGGAGCTTTTGAATGCCCAGAAAGTGGCAAACTCTTCACTGCCATAGTTAACCTCACTCTGGTTGAAGCCACTATACAGTCATAGGCCTTTCTATACATGTATTTTGCTTGAGAAACATATCAATACAAATATCATTAATATTCTCTTCTGCGGATTGGTAATCGTAGGACATTGTTCCGATCGACTGACAAACAAGCCCTTTAGTTGTGTTGTTGTTGTTGTTGTTGTTAAGTCATACATATTTTTTTATATATAGTGCAGGGCCATGTAGCCTACTCCTTATATCTTATATAGAAGAAGACTGTTACTCTGTTAGATTCCTGGAGACGGACAACTGGCCTTCTGCATAATACGACCTCGAGGATATTATGACCCCAGCCGCGGTACAAAGATATGATCTGCAAGTAGTGCAAGTACTGCAAGTGTGGCAGGATAGCTCTGGGCATCAACACAGAGAGGCAGGGGGGGGGGGAGGGGGGCATTGAAACCAAACGCTGCGGCTGACGCTACCCACTCCAGAAACAACCGAAAAAGAGACGAGGAGAGCCATCCAAGGACCTTAAGAACAAACTATTTATAAATTAAAATTTAACCACAGCTCCAGAGGGCATTTCCATGCCGCACTTTCAGATATGTGGGGTCATGAGGTTGTGAGCACAATTAGGGAATTTAATGTGGTCCTGCGTTGAGTCAATTTTAACATGAAAAAAGCAAAAATTGTTCCCGATTTCAGGTGAGGCCATCTGCCCCGTAAAACTATACATAATGCCTTGACCAAGCGCTCGATGAAGAAAGTTGCTCTGTGAAATAATAATAATAATAATAATAATAATAATAATAATAATAATAATAATAATAAATAGCATTTGTATAGCGCATATCCCCGCTCAACAGCAGGCTCTATGCGCTTTACACTTTATTATTACCCCAGCAGACCATAGAACATTCCGAAACATTCTCAGCTTCCCGGGAAGCATACAGTGCAAGCAGCTGATTAAGCGCTCAAACACTATCAAACTGACAAGATCTTTCGCTGTCTATAGCCGGGTACCCATTCCCACCTGGGTGAAGTGAGGACAATTCGTGTAAAGTGCCATTCCCAAGAACACAACGTCGGGCCCCTGACGGGATTCGAACCCACGACCTTACGGTTGCGAGTCCGAGAGCCTAACCACTAGGCCACCGACGCCACAAATCGAGTGATCCACTATTCACGGTCTCAAAATCTACTGATGAAAGGTCTTAGACCAGTTCATGTCAATGTCATTAGGTGGAGCGTGACAAAAAGGCAGAAAAATCGTAACAATGCAACAACAGCAACAACAGTGGCAGCAGTAATAATAGTAACAATAACAAAATAATAACAACAATAAAAACAAAAAATAATAACAATAATGATAACAATAACAATCATCATCATCAAAAAATAATTAGTAATAGTGGTTAATATAAAAAAATGTCCATAACGCCGATGAATTGCTAATTCAGCCAGATCACTCGACCCAGTCAGAGACGGCAGAGAAGAGAAGACAGAATTACATGCATGTAGCCTACATGATCACCATGCAACAAAGGTGTCTTGGCGACCGAGAAGAAAGTCTTGGTAGACTAGACCCTACCTT